GCCCGCCGGGACCCCGCTGCCGGGGAGGGCCACACGGACATCCAGGGCCTCACCGCGTGCTGTGCTGGAACACGGTTTTGCAGTGTATTCCCTCCCCGCTGCGATGGAGGTTGCTTTCTGTGCTGACTAATGCCGGGAAATTGCGGGTTTTTTATTTTAAAACGAGGAGATGTGGGCCACCGAACACCTGGTGTGGCAGCAGCAGCACTGTGTCTGCCAAGGAGTGACCACAATGCTGGTCAGGCCATCTGGCCTAAGCCTTGGAGGTAGGCGTCACCAGTACAGCCACAAACTGTTCACTTGTGAATGAAAACATGAGGAACAGAAAACAGCTAAGTACCATTCCAACTTTTTTTTTTTCTTAAATACAGGCAGGTATTGAAAAATGAGAAACTACTCTGGTTTTTTAGAAAAAAAACAGCAAACAACCAGTTCATTTTGACAGCTTTTTTCCTCTCCTGAAGACAGTGTTTACACTATTAATACTAGAAATTCCTGTTCAATGCTACTGTTATGTGAACTTTTTTTTTCTCCCCCTATAAAGGAAGGTTTTCTCCTTGGAGATGTGAAAGGTGAAGCCAAGAACAGCATTACTGACTCACAAATGGATGATGTTGAAGTTGTTTATACAATCGGTTAGTGTGTCCACATTTTAAATATCGCATTTGGTTCCAGGCAATGTACAACTGCTTAGTTTTGAATGAGGGCAGTCAACACCTTACAGCAAGATTGAAGCTGCTAGATCCTGGGGTCCACATTGACATAAAAAAAACACATGGAAGGGTTATTTTGTAACATTAATTGCTAAAAATTTTACAATTTTACTGTAGAAAATTTAATTTAACAGAAATACTAGTTCTTAGCTCTTTGAATAGCTCCTTCTTGCCAAGTATCTTGTCACATTAAAGGTAATTTAGGGCTTAGACACCTCCTTTGTCTTGGCCATATCACAAACTCCCCTGGACTACAGTTGCCCTGGAAAAAACTTGGCCTATTTCAGAGATGTGAACTGTAATGTGTTAGCATCTATCACCTAATTTGGAGCTTATAAAATACCGTGTGTGAAGGCTGCAAACTATTTATGTATTTCATTGAGCAGATGCCAGATGTATTTCTCTTTATAGTCTTCATGGGATTAGAGTGGATGTGCATTTTATACTCGCCCCTAACAAAAACATATGTATACATGCACACGCACACACATGTAAGTCCGTTCCTTTAAAATGTTACACAAAAAGAAAGAGAACAAGGTAATACAGTATTTTATATATACCCTTTCCAGTCTTCCTGAAAACATGGTAGGGAGAAATTGCATCCCATTTTCTAGGTTTACTCTAGGATACAATTAAGGTGTAACACTTTCCTCCAGAGTCTCACAGCTGAACCAAAAGTGTGGGGAATTTTTTGTGGTGGCATTGATCAAGTTACCCAGAATCTCATCATCACATTCTCATAGGCAGAGTTAGTTGCTCCAAAGTTTGGGTTTTTTTTTTTTAGTTAACTTGTGAGCATTTAGGAAAAGAAAAGGATTTAGAATGCCATTAGATAACCTACTTTTTTTTCCTGGTAGTCAGTCTTCCAGTTTGCATCATCTACCCTATGGGTTTCTGTTCTCCAGCCTCATCTTTCTTACTAACAGCATCCATGCCTTGCTGCAGAGTAACTCAAGTGAAATCTTTCATGTTACATACTACTCCTGTACTCAGTACAAGGGAGGGAAAAAATAAAGTGCCCGATTTGATTTTTCACTTGACAAAACAGAAAAATATATAGGAAATACAGTTTATATAAAGTGGTTCCCTTTACATCTGAAAAATTAGAATATTTTTAAAAAATATTTCCTTTCTTAACCTTATTTAATTAGTTGTTAATACATTTGATTTTAAGAAATTATATAGAATTCTTTCTCGGTTCTTCTACCAGTTTAATTCTGATCATAGCATACAGAAGAATATACATCTTGAACTGATGAACCCAGAGTAATATTACCTTCTCTTTCCAGATATACAGAAGCATATTCCATGCTACCAGTTGTTCAGGTAAGAATCTTAACTAAACAGATATGAAAAAGTTAAAATTAACCCTAACTTGAACTCTTCAAGAGTTAAACTTATATTACATTACTGAGAAAATCACCCAGCTGTAACTACAGTAGCCATATCAACCCCTTGGAATTACAGATGCAAAATGCCTTGCATTATTCCTATTTTGGTTCTTCATAGCCTTTTTTGGTGTTTGTCTACGCATATAGAAATAGAGATATGGCACACTGCACCTTCTGGTGAGCTATGATACCATATTTACTACAGAATAATGTCAACATACTGGGGGAAAAAAAAACCCATTGCTTTTCTAAAAGCATGCATCCCAACCCCTCACCCTCAAAAAAAAGGTAGCATCAGCCGTAGGCTTCTAAGCGGGTCAGAAAAAGAAACACTTCTTAGCCCCATGGCAGGAGAGTTTCAAGGACTAGTATTTAGAGTTGCATCATAGATGGGAACACAGCTGTGCAGGTTTGCACCCCTATAAGGGGAGAATCACAACACAATTTCCTTCTCAAATCTTTCTGAAAATTAATAAACCCAGGTGTTATTAGAAAGGCATTTCATATCAAATTGAAGGCATCTTACTATTTCGTAGTTGAGAGAACATAGATGCTACCTTTAACTTGTGTCCCAGTAACACTGATACCAGAACAGCATCTGGGCTGTACAAGATCACCTACATAGCTATTTGAGTAATGAAATTAACTGCACTGTCCTAGCAGAGAAGCTGTGTCAGCCTATCTTTATGCTTACCAGGGGCAGGGGGGGAACCCCTATTAAAGTGAGATGACTGCCAGACTGCTAGGGAATAATTATTTCTACAGTAGCTTTCCGCACCCTCCCCCCCCCTCTAATTGTCCTAATTTTCTTCTAGCTTTTATAATTCTGCAGGAGAACTGAATGAACTTGCCCTGAAGAAAATACTATCAGGCTGTAAGAAGGTATTTCATTTTCAAACCTAAACAATACCAAGGAGCTTGCTCAGATTTTGGGGGCGGTTCTTGTATCAAGCTCCCCCCCCCCTTTTTTTTTTAATCTTGTATCTAGGCCCTCACACTGCTGGTCAAGGCAGCTGCATCATCTTCTCCCCCAGAAGATGAGTTTAGGTTATTTTTGACTAGAGTTTGCCTACGTATGTCAACTTTATTTTTTTCTTACTCATTTCTTAAGCGAACAGTTCAAATATCCCAAAGGAATGCTACCGATTTCTAGCTTAAGATCAGTTGAGGTAAGCTCACTCAAGTGGTTAAGTGTCATTTGACCAAAAAAATTTAGAGTCTTCTTCACAGAAGGAAGTTTCACAAAGAGAAAGTAGAAGCTGGAAAGAGACAAACAGCAAAATAGCAGAACCAAGTTTGCAGAGTTTCAGCTTGAGCACAAGCTCAGAAAACAGGCCAGTTCAACACAGTTTTGAAGGAAAGAGAAGTTGTCATTCTGGAATTAGGCCTAGGTGTTTTAAGGGTTTCAAGCTAACTAACTGCTTGAATATGTACACATCACCAAATAATTCAGATTCATGACTTTGTACTGAATCCTCTAACTTGCTTCAGTATGACACACAGGGACAGCATGATTCAACAGTAATAATGAATTTCCTTCTGCCTGCAGAGTGTAATAGGATGGTACAAATTCAGACGTAACACAGACCAGACCATGACATTCCGGGAAAGACTTCTTCATAAGAATTTACAGTCACACCTATCAAATCAGGGCCTTGTATTCCTTTTATTAACCTCTAGCGTGATGACAGAAACTTGTTCTACTTACAGACTGGAACATGCCTTACATCGGCCACAAGAAGGGTAACTGGTTTGTTCTCTAGTTTTAATAAAGCAGTAGCACAGCATGTGCTATAACTTGGAACAGTTTTTTTTTCTTTGTTGCAACTGGATTATTGTTAACCCTGGTTTAGCCTTGAAACTTACACATTAAATAAGATTATTCCTTACATTGCTAGAGCCCAGTTGAAATCGTACCCTGCAGTTCTGTTCAGGGATTTGCCTTTATAACTATCTGTAGTGCCAGTGTCAACAGGAGTGCCAGTGTCAACAGGCAGACACTGTCAGTTCATTTATGCACATAAGCTGTTCTTGAGCAATTTGTTTTTGTGTATAGGACTTCAACTATGCATGGTGTTCATCTTCACGTATCATTGAAATATTTAAATTGGTAGTAATCTTCCATTATCTTCAGAGACACACTGCCCATAGGCTAGGCTTAACAAGCAAGTATTGCACTGTGTGACTTGTACCCAGAAGCGGGAAAAAAACTAGTGCATTGCTCAGAGTCTTGTTGCTCTTGCAGTTTGCCTTTAGCCGTAAGTAGTCATCTATGTGTGATGGGATACATTTAGCAAGAACTAACTATACTGTAAACCTCCATCTGGGATGCTTAATGGTCAAGAACCTTTAACTATCAGAGAGAGGCCTTTGGATGTTAATAAATCATGTTCTTGTACTTCTGCTTTTTAAGTCTTTTCCAGAAAGTTCCTTTGGTGGTTACCAACTTGGGTATGGCAGAACAGCAAGGTTACAGAACAGTGTCTGGTTCCTGTGTATCTTCTGGTTTTGTGAGATCAGTAAGACAACACAGGTACAATATATGCCATATTTACCAACAGCTGTAGCTTTCAGTTAAGTATAATTATCTTTCTATAGAAGTAGTATTTTAAGTGCTTTTTGCAAATGCTCCAGCTGTACCCTGCTAACTTGTTGACCTGTTTCCTGCAATTTACCTTTCCAAGGTACTTGGAAATTAGTCAAGTCCCATACTTTGCCATGAGAGCAGCTGGCTGTCTCAACATAAGCACCTAGTGTTGAAGTTCAAAATGCTTCTTCATTCATTATAGCTCCTACTAAGTAAGCACTGGGATCATTAACTTGCAGTTATACAATTATATTCTTGGTCCACAGGTCAGAATTCTTTTACGAAGACGGATCCTTACAAGAGGTTCATAAGATAAATGAGATGTATGCCACCTTGCAGGAGGAACTGAAGGTAAGTCAGGCATACCTGCCGATGTGGTTACTTTCAGCAGTACTACAAAACTAAGTCAAGCAAAGGGTACACCATTTTGCACTAAATGAGAAACAAAGCTGCATCTTGGAAGCACATATTGAAAGATCAGGGAGTTTCTACAGTTAGTAGCTGTAGACTAAGTTCTCAAAGTTGAAGACTTAAGTTTCCATTTGATCAAAAGTATGCTGATAAATCCTCAAGTCCACTGGTAAATTCTCACGAGAGGATTGTTTTGAAGGAGCACTATCTTTAGCTTGTCAGAACTCCTTTGCTTAGATGGGAACAATTAAAATATCTTGCACCTCATTCAACACAAGGTTTAAGTTATCATCTCTAAAGTCGACCTCAAGCTCATTACTTAAGCTTTTTAATACTTTGTGTCCAACTTTTAAAATCATGAGTACCTTTAAGGATTTTGCAACAAGGTTAAAGTCAGCTTCTGTGAATACTGTTAATTCCATCAAATACTCTTCTCCTTGCAGAAAATATGCTCTACAGTAGAAGCCAGTGAACGATCTGTAGAGAAACTCTTAGCAGAGGTGAGCCAATTAAAAGAAGAAATAAAGAGGAAAAAGCAACAAAGTTGTTCTGGTAAGTTAAATAAATGCAATGCCAGTCTTAGTAAGATTTCCAAAGTTGATTCAATTGGCAGAAGCACAAAACACTTCTGAACTTGAGGCAGCCAAAACAGTAGTGGTAGAAGTGCACAAGAGGGACTGCAACTCTAGCTTTTTTTTTCCAGGAGAAGACAGAGACTACTCAGGAGAGCCAAAGGAGAACATTCTCCTTTGTCAGGCACTGCAAACATTTTTCCCCAATTCTGGACTTCAGACATGTGTTGTTTCCTTTAAAGGCCGACAGATATCTAAGAACTGCTGTAACATTGACCATAATATTAACGTCCTGGACAAACTGACTCTCATGGTAGAGGAAAGAGACTTCACTGAAGCTGAAACAAGACACTTAACCAAGCGAAAAGTCAGAGGGACCACAACAGGGTCAAAGTCATTCAAGAAGTCCAGATCACTGCAGCTTCACCAAAAATTACTTCAAGACCAAGAGGACAGCGACCAGGAAAGGAAGCTTATGCTGAGTAGCACTGAAACAGATGAGGATATGTTGGAAAAAATTAGAGACACAAATGAATACCCACACTCTCCTACTTTCTGATCTGTTAATGATTTTCCAGATGACTTTGCACCAAAAGCTACTGCCAGCATATTAAAGTGACATACCAATTTATAGCACTGCAGGGACAAAAAAAACAAATGCATTTTTGCAAGACATAGAGGTTTGGTTTTTTCCCCCCAATGCATGAATCCTGTTCAGCATAGACAAGTCCGGATGATATTCCCTCATTTTGCCTTCTGGAGTTAAATCTGTATTCACTCTCTCAGGGTTTAAAGACTATGCTAGCAGGATGTTAGTGGTCATATAACCATGTCATACTGCCTCAGAGTAATACAACTTCAAGCTGCTGTTGAAGAAGCAGTACTACCCTTCCCTCAGCAGAAGCTGAGGCAGGGAACATCAAATGAACACATGTAACATGCTTAAAAGAATTAGCAGTCTACATGAATTGCCCCAATTTTAATACTTTAATTTATCCTTAGCTATCCACTACTTGTTTTTTTCACCTCCCCCCTTCCAATCCAGCAAGGGAAGAACAGCCACCTGAACTCTACCAAGGCCTGTGAGCAGAGGAAGCGGTCCATATAGTTGCCGATTTCTATTATTGCTTTCATCTTTCATACTTCCTTCAGACAATTTTAGAGACTTGACACTTCATAAGAAAAGCAACTGACATTCACCCTTCAGTCAGTGATGCATTATGCTAGCCAACCGCACTTCCAGTAAACAAATATATAAACATGAAAAGTAGTTTTATTGTTTATTTCTTTATAGTATATTACTCTGGATACTTGACATTACATATCTTGGGGTCTGTGAGAAATGATGGGTTCTTAAACATAACTGGCATAAATCCTGTAAAAAGATAAGATGGAGGTGTTTTTTTAATAGGAAAGTAGGCTTGACTTACAAAACTCAAAAGCGTAGTCATACTTACCAAATACATGAGCTCTTTTAATGGCTTTTGTGATTTCCTTCTGCTTCTTGTTGCACAAGCCTAAAGAGAATCATTTTCAGTCTCAAATCAACGATAACCAAATCGTTAGTTTAAAGGGTGAAAGTGATATTACTGACAATTCCCTCTAGCTTTGTCTAAGTCTTCCTAGAAAAATGCATGTATGCTTATACTGTTAAATACAAAAAAGCATATAATTAAGAGATATTTTCATTCCTTGATGAAGGCTACTAAGTCAGAGGAATGCTATTACAAGATGTATGGAGTCGGCAGCAGTTACATTTGGAAAGATAACTGATACACCATTACTTGGACTCACAAGTAGATTAACATTAACCAGTAAATGATTTAATTCAGTATTTCACATACCTGTTATATGCCTGCCATAAATGCAGCCAGTGTGCGGAGAAACAAACTGGGAAAGAAGCTATTTAAAATTAAGAAATCCAAAGTCAGCTTAAGAATTTTTACAGAGCTTTAGTTTCTTTTACTGCTTGCATTCTGTTTTTCATTTTTTGATCTGTTTTTACAAAACTCAGTTCTACCTGGAGACAAGAAAAAGTATAGCTTGGAGTTAGACAGTATTTTATATGCCACAATATTTAAGCTATATGACAGCAGAATTAGAATTGAGGACTCCATTTGGTAAACAGCAAAGTTGTAACACCTGCACATAGGACTAGTAGATTGAACAGCTTATCACAACTACATTATTTGACCCTTATCTTCACACATTCTGACTCTTAAGTTTTAAACCCCTACACATACAAGTGAATCTCATTTTTTGTCCTTGTGGACTTCTACACACACACATTTAAAAATAGTAAACCGGTTACCTTCATCATGGACAGGAATTTTCAAACTCACCTGCACATTCTTGTAGTCCACGTTTATTCCACATAAGACACATTTTTTAGGAGGCTCTTTGTAGGGGTTCTCCATTTGTATGGGCTGAAATTAGAGAATTAACATCTGTAAGCTTCACAAGAAAATATGGAATGTTTGTTATTTTTATCCTTTGGGCAAAACATGCCTCAAAACCAAAAGAGGTTTAGTGTATCATTGAAATTTTTCAATAACTTACCTCTTTCTCTAACACACTGATTGGTACCTGACAATCTAAAAGACTTCTCACAGCTACACTGCCTTTTATCTCTTGGTAACAATGACAATGTAACAAGTCAATTAAAGCAATCAGTAAGATGCTGCTTACACCTTTTACTTAGGTAAAGACAATATCTACAGAAGCCAGTAGTAAGGTAGTTCTGTCTAGTAAGGCACAAGAGACCTTTTTGAAAATAATATCGAAGCAAATGGCCCGAGGGAGCTCCTGTCTGCTCACACACTTTAACAAGAGAGATTCCCAACTATCTCCCAAGCCCTGAAAGGCTCCTTAGGCTTCAGAACACACCCAGCACCAAATCCTTACAAGGTACCAGTGAAAGGAGAAATTTCATGTTTGCAGACACAGGTAGAATTTGGGCAGAGAAAGAGTATTTTTAGAAGTTTTTGCTGGTACCAGACGACACATTTTTATGACATAACAAGCACACCTAGTGCATTCTCGTAAGTCTTCCTCAGCTATATACAGGAAGTCAGTTAGTGCCGCCAAAGGTTTTGCTCCACTTCCGAGTGACTGAGACAGCTGGTTTAAGTGACCACAGATAAGATACTGGACTACAAGTCAGCGGCGCCTGAACTTCAACACCTGGTGGCCTCCCTCAGCGCTGGGTTCCTGCTCTGTAACACACCGAGCAACTGAAGTCGCTTTTTCTTAGATCCCGAGCTACGCGGAGACCGAAGCAAAGCGTCTTCGGACACCTCTGCTGCCGGAGCGGAGCCCCTCCCGCTGAGGGTGACAGCGGCCCGAG